TGGTTCAAAGCCAGTCTGGGAAGGAAAGTCCATGAGACTCTTATCTCCAATAAACCACTCAGAAAACCAGAAGTGGTGCTGTGCCTCAAGTGGTAGAGCACTTGCCTTGAGATGAAGAGGTGAGGGACAGTGTTCAAGCCCCACAACTGAACAAAAATATATATATATATATATATATGTTGGAACTAGATAGAAAGGAGGGTTGCACAGATAGAAAGGACAACTGTGCTAAATGCTGTTATACTGTACTGTTTAAAAATTTTTGTTATGTGCATACGATGTCTTCTAAAAACATATGAACTGTGCATCTGAGACTTATTTATAATGCTAAATGTTTAACAACTGTAATTAATATCATGGAATAAGAACACAAAAAGAATGGGGCAGAAAAACACAATTCAAGGAATAGTGAATAGAACTTTACCAAATCTATTAAGAAGACAAATTTAAAGACTTCAGTGCTGTGTACGAGTGTGCACACGCGCGCATGCTCATGCACACACACACACACACACAATTTAGATAATTACAACCTACACAATGTTTATCCTGGAAATTCAATGTAATTCACCATATTAATAAAGGAAAATAATCATACTTCAGTGTATGCATAAAAAGCATTTTACAGTATCAATACTTACACATGATGACAAATCCACAACAAGCTAGACATACAAGGGAACTTTCTCCATCTGATCTAAAAAATCCTACAACATCACAGATGATGAAAAAGTACTGAACATTTTTTTTGGAGAGAAGGTTCGGTCATGGGGCCTAAAATCTTGGGCCTGGGCACTGTCCCTGCGCTCTTCAGCTCAAAGCAAGCACTCTACCACTTAAGTCACAACGCCACTTCCAGTTTTCTGGTGGTTAATTGGAGATATAAAAGTCTCATGGGGGCTGGGAAGGTGGCTCAGTGGTAAAAGTCTCATGGACTTTCCTTGGCCTGGCTGGCTTTGAACCGCAATCCTCAGATCTCAGCCTCCTGAGTAGCTAGGCGTGAGCCACCGACGCTCGGCAGTACAGAACATTTTCCATTGAAGAGTAGGAATAAGGCTCACTTCCATGAAAGGTTCCACAGAAGTCTTAACCATTACTAAGGAAAAAAATATAATCAATAGAAATATAAGATTAGAAATAAATAAGTGGAATTTCCTTTTTCCTTTTTTTTGCCAGTTCTGGGGCTTTAACTCAGGGCCTAGACATGGTTCCTGAGCTTCTTTTGCTCAAGGCTAGTACTCTACCTCTTGAGCCACAGTGCCACTTCCGGCTTTGTGTGTTTATGTGGTACTGAGGAATTGAACCCAGGGCTTCATGCATGCTAGGCCACATTCCTAGCCTCAAGAAGTGGAATTTTCTATCTGCAGGTGACATGACTGCTTACATTAAAAATTCTAAGGAACTGCCAGGTGCTGGTGGCTCATGCCTATCAGCATGGAGGAGGCTGAGAGCTAAGGATCATGTTTGAAGCCAGCCTGGGCAGGAAGTCCATGAGACTCTTATCTCCAGTTAACCACTAAAACACCAGAACTGGTGTGTTGGCTCAAAGCAGTAGAAACCTAGCCTCGAGCAAAAAGCTCAGAGACAGGGCCCAGGCTCTGAGTTCAAGTCCTGCAACCAAAAAAAAAAAATCTAAGGAATCTATAACAATTAATTGAACTCTAACTTTTAGCAAGACTTAAGGATGCTAATTACTATTAAAGTTGCATTTTATATAATAACAGCAAATAGCCAGACACAGGTGGCTTACACCTGTAATCCTAGCTTCGCAGGAGGCTGAGATCTATGAATTGTGGTTTGAAGCCAGCCCAGGCAGGGGAATCTCTTTGAGACTTTTTTTTTTGGGGGGGGTGGGGGGGCCAGTCGTGGGCCTGAACTCTGGGCCTGAGCACTGTCCTTCAGCTCTTCAGCTCAAGGCTAGCGCTCTACCACTTGAGCCATAGCGCCACTTCCAGCTTTTTTCTTTTTGCTTATGTGGTGCTGAGGAATCGAACCCAGGGCCTCATGCACACAAGGCAAGCACTCTACCACTGAACCACCTTCCCAGCCCATCTTTGAGACTTTTATCTCCAATTAACCACCAAAAAGCTGGGAGTGGAGCTCTCATTCAAATGGAAGAGCACTAGCCTTGAGCACAAAAGCTCAGGGATGATGCAATTCCCAGGCCCTGAGTTCAAGCTCCAGGACTGGCAAAAACAGACAAAAATAATAGCAAATGGTTTAAAACTAAAAATTAAAGCCAGGTGCTGGTGGCTCACGCCTGTAATCCTAACTACTCAGGAGGCTAAGATCTGAGGATCGCGGTTCAAAGCCAGCCTGGGCAGGAAAGTCCCTGAGACTCTTATCTCCAATAAACCAACAGAAAACTGGAAGTAGTGCTGTGGCTCAAGTGGTAGAGCACTAGCCTTGAGCTGAAGAGCTCAAGAGGGACAGCGCCCAGGCCCAGAGTTCAGGCCCCACGACCAAACCAAACCAAACTAAACAAAAAACCACTAAAAATTGAAACTATTAGAACTATTCTATCCATACATTCAAAAACATGTTAGTAATGCCTGTAAGCAATATATGAGCATTATACTGCAAACTACAAAACATAGCTGGAAAATTAAAGACTTAATAAATGAAGTTATACCATATTCATGGATTGTGTATATCTATTTTGTGCTGCTGTCACAGAACACCAGATACTTAAATAATTCATAAAATACATCAACATATTCCTTACAGTTTGGGAGGCTGCGAAGTCCAATTTCAAGGTGCTGGCATCTTACAAGGATGCTTCTTGCTGTCATCCTCCCATGATGAAAGACAAGAGACAAAGAGAATAGGACTGAACTTGCCTTTTATAATGAGTTCACTCCTGTGATAAGAGCATTAATCCATTCATGAGTGAAAATGCCACCTACCAACATGGTTGGAAACTAAATTTCCAACACTTTTTTGTCAGTCATGGTGCTTGAACTCTGGGCCTAGGCGCTGTCCCTCAGCTCTTCAGCTCAAGGCGAGCATTCTACCACTTGAGCCACAAAGTCACTTCCTGTTTTCTTGTGGTTTGTTGGAGATGGAGTCTCACGGACTTTTCTGCCCAGGCTGGCTTTGAACCATGATCCTCAGATTTCAACCTCCTGACTAGCGAGGATTACAGGTGTGGGCCACTGGCACCCAGTTTCCAACACATTTTTAAAGGACATATTTAAACAAGAGCAGAACACAAAACTATTCAGTAATATCAAAATGTTAATCCTGCCCACAAATTATAAAGATGTCCCAAGCATAATGCCATTTTTTTTTGGGGGGGGGGGGAGGGGGTCTGGTCGTGGGCCCTGAACTCTGGGCGGGCACTGTCCCTCAGCTCTTCAAGTTCAAGGCTAGCGCTCTACCACTTGAGCCACAGCGCCACTTCTGGCTTTTTTCTTTTTTACTTATGTGGTACTGAGGAATCGAACCCAGGGCCTCATGCATGCAAAGCAAGCACTCTACCACTGAGCCACCTTTCCAGCCCCGCATAATTCCATTTTATTTTTCTTTTAGAAACCAGAATGATGTTTGTAAATTTTATGTAGCAATGCAAAGAACCAAGGCTACCGAGAGACACCCTGGAAAAAAAATATATATATGAAAAATGGAATAGGTAGCTTGATTCAAGACCTTAAAGCTAATCATGACTGCTTCCGGCATAAGATCACCACAGCAACTAACCAAATAGGCAACCCAGAGGTTGATTCATACCTTTATGGTGACATTTTGACAAAAGCACCGAAACAATTCTTGGAGACAGACTTTTCAATTAGTACTGCAATAACTTGAGAAGGAAAAACTGGTCTACATTTCCATAGAACAACTTACCTACTAGGTGAATAGTGGACCTAAATGCAGAAGGTAAGATTATAAAGTTTACACAGGGAAAAAAAGGGTGGTGGGGCCTTCTTGGGGTATGTGCTATGGTAAGAAAGTGGGCTGGAGATTTATTAGATCACACACACGATCTACTTTTTCAAAAATGTGTATTATATAATGAGCACATACTGTAATCAGAAAAAAAAAATTGAAATTTACTCTTCCTTAGCTATCCCTATGTTTTAGTCTTTTTCCAATGGCCAAAGGGACCATGTTCTATCAAAAGATGAAAAATATTAAGAAATTTTACAGTACATTTTTCATCTCCATTTTGCTATTTTTAGGCAGGAGGCAACATTATGCAAATAGACATTCCATTGAATTGTCTCTTAAATCTAACTTCTAAAATTGTTATCTATTTACTTGATCTTCAGATACTACAACAAATGGCTATGCCTTGAAATGCAAATTTGCTGAAACTAACAACTTTTGCCTCAACCAGATTAACTACATACAAAACATTAATTCCACATGGTTCCAAAATTGGATGTGACCTAAGAAAGATCAGACGTAAATGCTTAGACAATCCCATAGTAGCTTAAGGATGACATTCTCACTGGTTTGTGGTGAGGTCCAGGTCCCCTCCACTCAACTGGGAGCAGGCTGTTTAACTCCTTGACCAACAGACTATGAAAGAAGTGATGGGTGTGGCCATTTATAGAAGCAAACCTTAGATCAAGAGCTTCCTATCATTTAGCACCAGCTGCCACAATGGAAGGAAGCTCAAGGATAAAGTCTTGTGCTGAGGAACTGAGACCCCTGACTCCCAGGGCCAGCATCAAGTGATCAGCCATGCGAGTGAACCCTCTTAGAAGTGAATTTTCCCACCCCACTTGAGATATCCCAGCTGGCACTTGAGGACTAAGAAAGAAGAGGTTCTTACCCCCAAGCCCTTCCCAGACCATAGACTAGACAGGGAATAAAGCACTGTTGTTGAAGTGGCTAACTTTTGGAACACTTGGTTGCCCATGAATACTACTACACACCCCTAGTCATCAAAGCAAGCCTGAGTACACGGCCTCCACTGCTGCCAAACTAAGTTACTGTGTGACACCAAAAAGCCACAGAGGCCAGAAAGAAACAAAAGCAGTCGGGCACCTGCGAACTCTTCACTCTGCTTTATTGTGACGCACCCAAGGTACAGAACCTCTCTCAATGTGAAAGGGAAGCTTACATTTCTTTGGGAGAGCACCTTCACGTTGGTTTCTATTACCACTTTGAAGAAAGTAAACCATTTCCAAAGAACATTTGAGATTCCAAGGGTTTAGACTCAGCTCGCCTTCTGTGGTGTTTTGGCCGGTGCGAGAAGATCCGTTTGTACCATTTCCACAGGGTGGGAGATCAGAAGTCTTCATGGTCTGCTTGGACCAGTCTTTCATTTTCATATGCAACTTTTCATATCAAAAATGTCTCCGTTTTTCCTCTATCCATAAACAGATGCTGTTTGAAGAGACACATGTACATTCTCACAGCTAAGCTTGAAACCAACCAAGAAGCACAGCATCACTAACAAGACAAGTGAACAGTTGCTGCCCTCTCCTGCTAAGACAATGAAATACTAAAATAGCAAAAGACTGATGAAGCGCAAGCGAACTCCTCAAACCAAAAGCAACGGACATGGTATTCTCATTACACCCAGTCAAAAATCAAGACAACAACCAGAAAAATGTCTTGGTAATATTTATATTTGAAAGTTCCCCATTGATACATGAGGTGTGGATTACAACTTATTTACAATAAGTGATTTCCAAAAAAAAAAAAATAAGGAGGGTCTGAGAAAAACACAGGGGAAGGAAAAGGAGAGGGTAGAGAGGGATGGAAAAAAAGGAAAGCTTTATTCACAGACACCATTAATATGGGATGTTTGTTTCCAAGAGAGATACTACTGCTGCCAACATGAACCAGAAGCAGCACACATTAACAGCTAGATCTAAGTCTGCTAAACTTTCTCTCAAAATGCACCATCCCTCTTTCAGGATTGCAAAATTAAATATAGAGGAATATAAAATGCATTGCCAATATACCTATTACAAAAAATCCTTTATGGCTCATTTCTTAACTCCACTCAAGAGAAGCAGCTGAGCCAGTATACAAAAATAAAAATATTCATGTGCAAATAAAACATCACTGATCATGTCTGGTGCCACCTTTTTTTTTTTTTTTTTGTTACAGGTGACTGTTATTTTGTGGTAACATGGTAACAGCATCAAAAAAGCATGTGTCTTCACTTCCTGGACTAATTAAGCCAGTGCATCCAAATGAAAGGGGGGGGGGGGGGGGCAGGAAAAAAGAAAAACCCTGGGACATGAAAAAAATGCCAATAACATCCTAACATCCACATATCCCTTGTCCACCACATCCCAGTCCCCCCCCAAAAAAAATTTTTTTTAAGCTTCTGAAGCTCTAAATATACTTTTTAAAAATTCCTTTCCTTTGAGCCTAGGGCTATACATTTTTTTCAGGACAGCAGGTGCATTACCAGCAATTCCTAGCTCTGCACCCTGGATTGCCCCACTTAGAATGAGGTACAAAGTAAATTAAATTCTTCCATTGAGGCAAACGAGCCCAAGACAGAGGAAGGAGCATAACCCTGCTTGTGAGTATCCAGCTATGTCAAGGGCATTATTTCTTGATTTTTTTTTTCTTTTCTCTTATTTTATTAAAAATTAAAAAAAAAAAACAAAAACCACTCAGATGTTAGGAAGGGCGAACAGGACAAACACTAAACACAGCGGGCGAACAGCCGGGGACACCTGCACGATGAGAGAAAGGAATGCATGCTTGATTCATAGAACATGGGTACCTCACACACACGTGGTTCTAGGCCCACAGCCTGAGCCTCTGCTTCACCCTAAACCACAGGGTTCTGTGTATTTTCTTTCTTCCAAGGACACTCTTAATCCTATCCCTGAAACCAATATGGTAGGGATCAAGGTGGAGTGATCATCACTCAGTAACTACAATATTTGCTATTTAAAAAATATATTTATATATAGTTCTGGAAACTATGAAGCCAACAAAATAAAACACAAAAGATGCATTTTTGTCACAATCAACAGCAGAACTGTGTGGGAAGGGACAAGGGGGCAGGGCTGCTGCAAACGCAGCCAGTACGTCCTTACGGATGTCATATAGTGCAACAGTCACTTTACCTCCGCTACTCCACGGCACCGCACACAACATGACGAATGTCACATTGTCACTTTCAGGTTCAAAAAGACAAAGTTTCTTCTCAGAAGTGGCCTGTGAGTTTTAGATGACAGATACTTCTATCTGCTTCTTTAACTATGTCTAAAACTTGGCTTTATTCCTTTCCATTTGGAATGATTAATATCCAGGTCTGGCATCAGGGCTTAACTCTGAGGACAGGTAAGCTGCAAAGGGGGATCCTGCCTTTCTCCTTTTAAACGACTGCATTGATTTCCAATAGGCTTCCATAATCCTGTGATTTTAATGTCTTCTATGTGAAGATGACTTTGTGGCAAACAAAAGTTTATGCTATCAGAAAGAAAACATAATGCAGTCAAAACTAAAGTGTTAAAAATCAAAGGGACTAAAGGAGATGTGGTAAATCTATTTTTTTCAAGTTTCAGAGATTTATTAATCATTGTAAATAAATCTATTCTTATCTTACACCTCTGCTCCTCTGCCTACACTGATTACATTGATCACTATTAATGTTCTTTTTAGAGGGGAAAAAAAAATCTAGTCATTATATTAATTGCGTATCACTTTTTTACTGCAGTTTCTCTTGGGGAATTAACCATGCCAAGTTTTGTTTCTGTCTTTTTTTCTTTTTCTTTTTTTTACAGAGTTATGGAGGGGTAAGAGGTCAGTGGCTTTCCCCCTCTTTTCCTTGGAAATAATAAAACTATATATTCTACTCAATAGTTAAATGGCTGGAATAAAACATACAAGCCCGTATTTATAATACTTGTCTATTTAAAGCAACAATAGTTCATATGTTCACGTTTGCTACTACCACAATTCAACATATGAACAGGAATCAGCTCATTCGATGAGCATGGCTGGAAGTGACAGCTGAGGAAATCAACCCACTGCTGCCACGTCCACCACAAGCAAAAGCATCCTGAAGACAAGGCCAAAGCACACAGCTCTCTGTACATAGTCATGGAACCACGTTGGGTAAGTCCATACTGTACTTTAGTCTTACAGCAGCTTACCTACCCAAGGTATAAGATTCCTCTCCTAATACCAAAGCAGAAAGCCAAGAAGATCTATCTACAATACAGCCCTAGATCTTGTTTCTGAAACAACTGTGTTTTTCTTAAACAATTTGGTCACGATGCACCTTTGATATAAAAGCACTTTTAAACTTTATTATTAATACTCAGGACATTAGGAATTTCCAGATTTTTTTTCAGTAGCATTTGTAGAACCACTTTTGGTAACAAATACAGTAGTTAGGAATATGCATCCAATTGAAGATGCATAATGTGTATCCTGAATCCTTTCTGGCTAAAAACAGGGCTGGCTGGCGCGGTGATGATATATAGAATGAGAATCTACAAAAAACACTGTAACGTGGGTTTTTTTTCCCCCCAGAGGCTACATCCTCTTTTGCTGGAATACTTTATAAATACATATTAAAAAGTAAGGCAACAACTCCAAACAGTCCAAGCTGTTTGCTCAACTCTTATCCCAATTCAATTCACATTCCTGGCAATCAATTTCATGGTTGTGTGTTGTTTAGTGTTTGTTTTTCTTTTATTGTATGGTCCAAAAGGATGTTGTGACATTTCTACACCGTCTCTGGTATGTATGCTCAAGGATGGATGCAACTAATACTGGTCAGGCACTGAAGCCTGTGGTGTCCCAGTGCCTGTTTTCAAAGGATTCAAGACATTGATTTGGATCCTCCATTCGACTCAAGTATGAATCCAAAATTCCCTTCCCTACTATGTTTATCACCTCTCCTCTTATTTTACTCCTAATTTGAAAACTAAAGGAGTGCCAGGACTACCTGGTTACTGGAAAGATGTTCACCCCAGTAGACAAAACTTTCCTGAGGGGCTTTGGTAATTCACAGCCCCATTCTATGTGGACATTCAACTCATGAAGATGTGCAAAAGGAAAAGATGTCAAATTTCATCAAGTTATCCAAAGGAGGATGTTACACAGACTTATAAGGAAATGACAATCTTTTTCTTCCTTTACTATAAATACATTTAACAGCTTAGCAGAAAGATAAGCTAAATTTAAGATTGTTCACATTTGAAAATTGTATCATACTCTCTGCTAGTGATAAATAAGAACTCCTGATAATGGAATTTAAACATAGCAATTTCATCAACAGATCTTTGAAGACCACTTTTTTTTTTTTAAGAGGGTTAGAACAATGATTATGTTTGCAAAGTTCTGAGAAGTCCATCTACTGTCCAAACTTTGGATTGAAGTCCTTATTTTTTTTCCTTTACTTAAAGACAGGTATATACAGTGCTGTTGTAATAATGAAACAAATGTGAAATCTACTGTAAAGTTGCACAATACAGAAAACTGTTGCTCCATCTTCTACTACATAAATGTGTGACTCCACAGGTTAGTCATGTTGCTGTCGTGTTTCTGTTAAGTTGGAATTATCCCATCACGTCTAAGACCTCTCTTTAACTCTAGATCCTCCAATTTCTTCCATAATTCTTCACGTTCTTTTTCTTTCTTTTTTTCACTGGGGAAGAAAGAGAACATAAGGTAAGCAACTAAGAATGTTTAGAGAGATTATCTAAATAGCAACTATACCATCACTGCCTCTTACTATACTTTCCTGTGTTGAGGGAGGAGAGACATTTGGGGAGAGTTATTTAAAGTAATGGGGTTTGAACGCAGGGCTTTGTGCTTGCTAGACAGTCACACTACAACTTGAGCCACAGCTCCAGCTATTTTTCCTATGCTTAGATATTTACCAATGAGTCTTGAAATCAGAGCCTCAACACTATTCCTGAGCATTTTTTGCTCTACCACTTGAGCCACAGCTCCATTTCTGGCCTTTTTAGTAACTTTTATTGGAGATAAGAGTCTTACAAACTTTCCTGCCTGGGCTGGCTTTGAACGGTAATCCTCAGATTTCAGCCCCCTGAATAGCTAGGATTACAGATGTGAGCCACCAGCATCCAGCCTCCTCTAGCTATTGTTTAAGATAAGGTCTCGCATTTTACCCAAGCTGGCCTAGATGACATTGCTCCTCCTATTCATACTTTTTGCTGTAGCTGGGATGACAGGAGTGCAACACTGCACCAAGTTTTGTTTTGTTTTCTGTTGAGATAAGGTCTGATGAATTTGTTTTTGTCCAGGCTGGCCTTAAACCACATCTTCCTGATGTTGGCCTCCTACAGGATTACACATGAGCCCCTAGGCCTGGCTTCCCTATGTATATTGTAAAAGGTCTTTGAAAAGTTTGGCATTAAGCTTATGGATTTTTCTTTTTTGCTTTTCTCTCTTGTAGGTTTCCTTTTTTGGCAGTATAGACACAAAAGTACTGATAAATGGAGAAGAAAAGACTATTTGAAGAATTCAAATTAACATCCCTTTATACTTAATGCAGAATATTAACTTCAAAATTACCAATCAACAAAAATTAGGATGATTTATATATATCCTAAAACCAAGAGCACTTAGTGACTTTTTCTTTTGGGCTTAGTTAGAAGCTAACATTTTCTCGAAATCCATTCTCAAAAGACGTTAGAAATGAGACATATACAGAGAATGTACAAGGTCAGGAAGATACATTCTCTCCTTTATGTCTACTTTCCTAGTTAGTCATTTTCTATAAACTTGTAATTTCAGAGTATTTTTTCCCTTCTGGATTTTATTTCAATAAAAATTATTTTACATGATCAAATGCACATAAGCATTGTGACTTTGTGTTCTTCCCTATGAATATCCTCCTTTGGCCTCACTGTGTGGGAGTACCTAGAGATTTCCATTTTAATTAATCACCTGGATGGGATTTGATGATATTATTGTGATGTGTTTTTATAAATACCAATCCTTCAAACTGGGCTCAATATTAATTTTCGGAATGATTTCCAGACTTTCAGATAAAATCAGATAAAACTAATAGCCTAAAATAGATTTGGCTAATTTTACTTTGCTAAAAACATTTTGAAATTTCTGTATTAAAAAAAGAAAAGAAAGGAAAGCTGGATATGATAGATCATTCCTGTAATGCGAGCTGTTTTACAAGTAGAAATTGGGAGGAACTTGGTTCAAAGCAAACTTTCATCTAATAAAGCCAGGCATGGTTTCACACATCTGTGACCCCACAGCTACACAAGATGATCAAGGTCTGGTATCAGCCAAGGACAAAAATGGGAAATTTTACATAAAAAGCAAATAACTAGAGCAAAAAAGGTGAGGGGCATAGCTCAAGTAGTATAGTGCCTGCCTTGCAAACATGAGGCCCTCAGTTTAAACCACAGAACTCTCTGAACAAACCAACAGGAAGTACATAATTACAGAACATAAGACATTATAAATTAGATAAACTCATTCACATTTATTACAAATAGTTCACTGCATGATCTCTTTATAGTCTCAAGGTGTAGGAAACCAGAAAAAAAAAGGCTGGGGCTCATAGTCCCTGGACTACCTCACTTAGCAAAGCTTTCACTTCAGCCATAGTATAATTACTCAAGAGAAACCCCCATGCATTCAATAAACTCTAGATGCAATTCCAAGACTCATACTTTATGTTACCACCAGAACTTTTGAAATGTGTTAACATTTATACAAATGGAAATTAATCTTCATGCCCACCCCCCAAAAAATTCCAGAGAAATCCAAGTAATTTTAGATTCTTATGCCAACAGTCTTGAAGGAATGTTCAGTTTTAAGGCAGTTATGTCTTCATAATTAATATTGTGTGTTTAGGCCTTATTTCCTTTAACTAGCTATATTAAGTGCAATGTGTTATACACTCATAGCAGTACCTTTCGGAACCAGAGTTGTGCTTGGTAGCAAGTATCTATGGTTGTCATGTGGCTTCCTCAAGGTGTTAAGTATTTAAAGCAGCCGGGCTGGCACAGGGACAGTACAGTGATGGCTGTACTGTACTGACAGTCCTTCACTCAGGCATCTGGGGTCCCAGGGGAGGGTCTAATAGCTGTTACTAGGGAGTCAAATTACCCCAGCCCTAACAGTTTAAAGGAAAAATAAACATTAAAGGGGGTGCTTACAATAAATGTTTAACACCCATAGTGATTTAACAGTGTTTCAACAGTGCTTAACACCTCTGCCCCCTGCTGCAAGGAAAGGGACATACAATCCGTATAATACAAATTCTGGTCGTTTTGACCCTGGAAGCCTGTATGCACAACAGGGAACAAGAAGCCAGACTGGGTAAGTCATGATGGAGCCTAGACATGGCACTGTATGCAAGCTGTCGGGCAGATAAGCACTTTTTGTTTTCTCATTACAGTCTGGCAATAATCCTAAGTCCAAATAAATGTTCTCAGATAATACTAATTTGACCCCAAATAAATCAATTTTATAGATCCATCTGACCTTTTTGACTGGAGGCAGAAGGGTTTGGAACTTTATTCAAGTGAAAATCAACTCATATGGATCAGGTTCATACTGTGTTCATTTGCAGTCTAAATCAAACATTGCCATCGCTATGGCACTTGTCATCTTATTGCTGAAGCATTCCATTCAATTTTCTATCAGTAGTTCTGGGCTGTTCAATGCCATTTATCCTGTGCATTTTTTCTCCAGATGAAATTTATGCTGACTTATACAGTTTTCAGACTGACAACTTTAGCTTCAAAAATTCTAAATATTTCTGAAACTGTCACCCTTATTCTCTCCCACTTCCTCTCTCCCTGTAGGTGGGGATTTTAAGACTTAACCACACGGTGAGCTGAGGATTCTGTCAAACCATCTTCCCCTTTCCATTTTACACAGCACTCATGTTGGCACATGAACCTCACAGCGTTGGCACATGAAGCTCACAGTGTTAACTACTTATTCCGCCCACCATTTGGGGATTTGTAACACCTAAAAATATGCTCTGAACCAAAACCAGAGCTCCCTGCCATCCAGAAGGGAAGTGTTCCACTGACGTTCTTCTCTGACAGAACAGTATTGAGCTCTTCATTCCCACATCCATGGAGAAAGTAATGTTTCCATCTGCTTGGTGCACCCTTCTGTTGCTCACTGACAAAGTGTTACCTCTGCTTTAACAAACCCTTCTCTTGTTAAGAAAGTCCACTCATGATCAGCTGTTTTAACATGCCAGAATATTAGAACCAACCTCATAGTTAGTTAATTCTTATCTTGTTCAAGGGATTAGATGATAAAATATCAGAAAACAAATGAACCAAATAAGTTTTTTAGAAAGGCTCCCTCCTTCTTACACTTTTTTTTTTTTTTAAACTGGTAGTGCTGGAAATTAAACACAGAGCTACCTTGCCTACCACTAAGCCACACTTTCAGTTTCTTCAATATTCTTGATGGAATTCTACAGATTTAATCCTTGCTTAACTAGGCTAATGACAGTGAACTTTCTATTGTTCTAAAAGACAAAATGTCATACACTATGCACCCTTTAATGTTTCCTTCTGAGCGCTTTTTGAAAATTAACATTTTCAAAAGATTTTAAGTTTCAGGCAAGGAAGGCTATTACAAGTTTAATGATTTGCAACAACTGCTAACACAGTGAATTACAAGTTATTTAAGCTGCAAGTGTGCCACGGCATATCCTCTATTAAAAGCCATCCCTACAATCAATCTTTGCCCTTGGCCATCAAACCTTTCCCCTCGTTGATTTTATTATCAATACAACACAAATAACACATTCAAAATCTGGCAACACAAAGAAGCAAGGAAATCACACAGAATTTAGGGAAGAGACTCAGCAAGTTCCTGGGTCTGAACATGCACACAAAGCTCTGGTATTTTTGAAAGGTCCATGGTTTTAGCATGGTTTTAGCTGTAATACCAGCATTTGCTTTTAGGTGATCAGAGCCAAGCCACACACCCAACTGATAGCTCTCTGTAGACTTTCCTTAATCTCTCCATGTATGTATTTTGGAAAGTTGGAGATAATGGGCAAGGAATAAGATTCAATAAAAAGTCTCATGTAAATGAAAGCAAAAAAGGCTTTAGTAAGTTTTGACACTTTTGACAGAGGATTCCTCTGGTTTTTGCTCTCTTAAGAGTCATAAACATTTCAAGATTTATCTATTACCAGACTATTATCCTCCATATTATTTTCATTGCTCTTTAAATTGTAATAGATTTGTTGGGTTGTAGGACAGAAAGTAAGTTCGGTACTGAAAAGCTAGACAAATGGAGCCTTCTTAATCCTGCTGCTGGAGCACAGTACAGCATTGGCCCATGTTGAATTCAAGTAAGGTAGCCATAAGAGTGAATCAGAGGAAATGCTACCTGATGATCTCGGTAAGTGGGCCTGCAATACCAGCTATGTGCCAGGCTCTTAACCCAGAGACAGAATTGAAATAAAAGAAGGAAAGAAAGCAGTCTTTATTAAAAGAAGGCTGTCACAAGCTTTAGTACTTGGTGATACACTAATATACAGCAAATGAGCATGCAAAAATGAATATGCGAACAAACTTGTGATTTGGTGTGCATCTAAACAACGAAACAACTTCAGCAATGAACAAGGAAAGAACTCAAAGGTTTTATGCACAGCAGACAAAAAAGCTTTAAAAAGTTACCGCTGACGATCTGACTTGTATGTGGCTGTCAGCTCATCAAACATGGTGCTGTTCATTTCCATAAACGCTTTCAATACATTGTACACTAACGCCACAATAGCCCTGTAAAGCAGAGGAGAGGGAGCATGGTTAGCCTTACACATAACTTTTGTCTTTTTTTTTTTTTTTGGTCCGGTCATGGGGCCTGAACTCTGGGCCTGGACGCTGTCCCTCAGCTCTTCAGCTCAAGGCTAGCGCTCTACCACTTGAGCCACAGAGCCACTTCCAGCTTTTTTTCTTTTTGCTTATGTGGTGCTGAGGAATCGAACCCAGGGCCTCATGCATGCAAGGTAAGCGCTCTACCACTGAGCCATCTTCTCAGCCCCTATAACTTTTGTCTTAACATGCTCTTTACTGAATTCTCTTTTCAGCCTTTGGTTACTAGGACCAACTAGAAATGACCTACAGTTCATTTTCATGTGGAACTTTACATTTTTCTTAAGTGGTAGCAGAATTAGAACAATCTAATTTTCCCCTTCTAAAATAGTAATACCCAGAATAAACTGGTCTATGGCCACCTGATTAAACTTTATTGAACAAAAGGCAGGTATAAGCTGGGCACCGGTGGGTCACACCTGTAATCCTAGTTACTCAGGAGGCTGAGATCTGAGGATTGTGGCTTGGAGCTATCCCGGGCAGGAAAGTCCTTAAGAGTCTTATCTCCAATGAACTACTCAGAAAAAGCCAGAAGTAGCACTGTGGCTCAAGTGGTAGAGCACTAGCCTTAAGCCAAAGAAGCTCAGGGACAGTGCCAGGCCCAGAATTCAAGACCAGCAAAATAAAAAATAAATAAAAACCCACAGGCAGGTATAAAATAACCCTAAAAACAGCGTCTGTGTTAGGACTACCAGGACTACCATTAGAGGCCTAAATTTGCAAAATATTTCATATACATGCACATATTTATTTATGTATGTATGCATTATATATTAAATTATTCATACTCAAAAGACATGACACCCAGCTTCTGGAAGCAAGGCAATTTATTTATTTTTTAATTTTTCAAATTATTATAAAGGTTATATAGAGAGGTTGCAATTACACAAGTCAGGTAATGAGTAAATTTCTTTTCTTGACAATGTTATCCTTTCCCTTGCTTTTTCCCTCCTGTCCCCACACACATTATATAGTTCATTTTCAGCATAGTATCTAGTACCATTACTCCATTTGTTCACCCTTTGTCCCTCCATTTCTGTGCCCCCCTTTACCAGATAAACAAGACAAAAAGAAAAAGGAAACAAAAACAGCACCAAAGAAAAAACTTCTTGTTTCTATTTCCTGGAGTTCATTTTAATCAGTATTATTTCTTATGATCAGAGGCACATAGGCATTGCACCGTCGTGTTCCCCCTAAGAATATCCTCCTTTGGTCTCACTGTGTCTGAATGTTTAAGAGTCCTATATAATTTATCATGTCTTGGGGTATTTTAGCTCTAGCTTCTGCATATGAGAGAAAGCATGCATCATTTGTCTCTCTGTGCTTGGCTTACCTCACTTAAAGTGATTTGTTCTAGGTCCATCCATTTCCCTTAAGCTGGGCAATTATATAAGCAATCGATCTTGTTGTGATTTACTCAGTGCATCCACTCCTGCTTAGTTCCTCCTGGTAACTGGCCAGCTCCTGCTGGTTGCTCTAAGAAGCCTAAACTAAGCAGCCTAAATAGTGGCCCATTTTTATCAAGTAGAAGAATAAGCTCTTGGATAGTGTGAGGCTTGCTACACTCCAGACAAAGAGTCTCAGCAGCTTTGCCCTTTGCAAATATATACAGCCTTCCCTCACTTTGCAATGAATCTGCTTCCAATAGGATCAGACAATATCAGCAAAAGTGAAGGCATATATGTTAAATAAAACATTTACATGAAAGGAAGGAGAATTTAAGTTCTTGGTTAAGGTTCTAGAAAGTCCTTCCTCCCAGGGGTGGTGATGGAGAGGCACTAAGTATAGGATTCAGAGCATTACAGAGCTCCTCCTGACCTCCTCAGACCCTCAAGAGGCCATCTGGAGAATGAAGTTTAACTGTCTAACATGCCTTTGTTCATTTGTTTTTGAGTTGTTGTTTTTTTTAAGGTCTATCAATAAAATCTGGCAAATTTGAAAACTAAGATGTTGCTTTGCAGTTACATGCAAAAATTCTGGAGACAAAAAGATGATGCACTGAATTCTACCTACTGATTTTCAATGCCATATAAAAATTTCCTTCCATTACATAGAGAAATGTATAAGGCCACAGAATGCCTGACCTAGGGTTGAATTAAACTTCTTAATTTTTTTTCTCCTATAGAATCTGATGATTGAGCTGGTTGCTGGGAAATGGATTTTGCCATAAAATGCTAATCTATTCAGACCATTTCCCACCATATCATCTTTCATTATTTCCTCATCTTCTGGCACCATTCCCCAAATACCTCATTATTTGCCCTCCCAAACTTATAGGCTTCAGAACAGGTGCTTTTTAATGGCTTTGTGCTTTTGAAATTTTAGTTTTTAATAGTACTAGAACTTGAACTCAGTCCTCCTGCTTGTATGATTACAACTGAAGCTCCCCACTCTGATTTTTGCTAGTTTTTTTTTTTTTTTTGGGGGGGGGGGTTGGGGGGAGGCCAGTCCTAGGGCTTGAACTTAGGGCCTGGGCACTGTCCCTGAGCTTCTCTGCTCAAGGCTAGCACTCTATCACTTGAGTCACAGCACCACTTCCAGCTTTTTCTGTTTTTGTGGTATTGAGTTATCAAACCCAGGGCTTCATGCATGCTAGGCAAACACTCTACCTTCTAAGCCACATTTCCAGCCTGCTAGTTATTTTTGAGATAGGGTTTTATTTTCTGCCAAGGCATGTGCTTGGGTATAGAGTACCTATTTAGCCCGTTAGGCTTCCTATGAAGCTAGGATAAAACATGCATGCCACTGTGTCTGGCTGCTGAGGTGAGCTTGGGCTGGCCTGATCCTGATCCTGATCCTCTGAGTCTCAGCCTCCCAACTAGCTAGAATTACAGATGTGAGCCACTGGTATCTGGTTAGCTTTGGCCTTTTTATGATTGAACAGGTCCTTTAAGATCCACTTAAGCACTACTACCGCATCAGTATCTTCTTGGTTCCAGTACATCCCCATACTTCTGGCTACCTTCACACATAAGTCAATAGATATTTTAACAATACAGTAGCTGGCACCTAGCATTCAAGAGTTTATTAAACAAAAGAGGAGAAGTAAGGGAAAGAAGAGCAAAGAAGAAAGGGGAGGGCAGAGAGGAGGAGAGGAAAGAGAAAGGACACTGAAAAACCTACGGATTCCAATGTTCTTTTGAAATCCTATAAAGACTGGAAAACATGATGGGAAGGATAACGTTAGAGTTTTCTTCTATCAAACTCATAATGTATTCATTATTCCAATAATAGAGGGCCCTTTCTGCCACCTGTGGGAGAAGAAAACAAAAGTAAATTACAAGCTATCTAGACAAAAGCATTATAAATAGTTCAAGCAAAAGTAAAATGAAGTATTCATCACATTTTATATACTTTGCAGATTTTAAGGGCTCTAGGAAGTTCTAAAGTGGTTCATCAACTTCAAGAAGAAAAAAACTGTACTTTCTCTCCCTGTTAGTTTATCTTCTCCTTTATGTCTGTTCCTCTCATCTGAGTCGTAGGTTCCCCTACATTCCGGGCCATCCCCTTTACTCTAGCTCCTCCTACAGATCCTCTTTCCGTTCTCTTATTCTCATGCTTCAGATCAACCCTAGAGCCCAGCACATGGCTGGGGTTTAGCAACAGTGTTCAGGAAAACCCACAGACAGCCATCCGTGGCAGCCACATTTACCAAGCACTGCCTGTGGCCAGACCCTAAGCTATACTGTGTCTAGAATACATTATCTCTACTGCCAGCCAGTTTTTCTCTTTTAGAGAAAAACACAAAGGCTCAGAGAGATCAGGTAACTCATTCAAAGTCACACTGCTAGCAAAGCACAAAGGCTAGGAACTCAAGCCTAGGACCAGAGCTCCTTCAAACAGGGGAAACCAAGAGGGTTTAGCTTCTGACCTCAGAGATGCTTGTGATGCAACACGTACTCACTGCCATCTCAGTTCTCTATTCTCTGCTTGCCATGTTACCAAGTGATTATAATTTGGTCTTCTGGGCCTGAGTTACTTATCTTGGATTTTATGATGTTAAAAGAATACCTCAAAACAAAATCTAAAATCTCTAATAAGTGTATACATATATAGGAAAGGAAATAGGATTGTCTTCCTTCCTCTGTACAAATGAAGAACTTAAGTGTTTTTTTTTTTTTTTTTAAATAATTTATTTAGTTGGTTGTCAGGCCTGGGTGCTGTCCCTGAGCCTCTCTGGGTTCAAGGCTAGCCCTCTACCACTTGAGCCATATAGACACTTCTAATTTTTGAGTGCTGAATTAGAGATGAGAGTCTTGCCAAGACTTTACTGTCCTGGCTGGCTTTGAACCCTGAGCTTCAGATCTCAGCCCCCTGAGTAGCTAGGATTACAGCTGTGAGCCAACAGTCCTGGATATTTATTACTTTAGCCACAGTACCACACCCAGCTTTTTTCTGAGTACTTTATTAGAGATGAGTCTCATGGACTTTTCTGCCCAGGCTGGCTTCAAACCATGATCCTCAGATCTCAACCTCCAGAGTAGCTAGGATTATAGGCATGAGCCACCGGCACCTGGCTTAGAACTTAGGTTTTAGAAGGAAAAAGCACGTAACACTATAGCTCATAGTCAAATGTGAAAACACCTTTCCATGTCCCTTTTCAACTCAGTTCAAAAACAAATTGTGAGATTCCTTAGGCACTAGACTCTGAGAGTCTAGAGAATACTTTTACTGAATATTTACTATGCTCCAGGCACAGTGCTACACAAGCTCCTTTAAGCCTCACAACCACTTTGTAGCTGGGGAAACTGAGGCTTATAAGCTACTGACTGTCACAAGGTCATATGGCTAGCAGATTCTGAATGCTCTGCTCTAACCCCCTTTACTGTTATCCCAAGGACAGCACCATTCACTGCTAGAGAGAGGCATACCTGTGGCCCCATCCAGTGCAAACTGGCAGGGGCCTACCAGAAAGATGGATAGATGTAGAGGAGAGGGCAGACAAAGCAATCTAACCTCACATACCAAGAGAGGATTGTGTGAGAACACACCAAGGAGACAACACACATGCCAGAAAGCAGCATTAAAAACCACCAGGCCAGCACCATCATCAAGACTTCCAGCCCCCAGAACTGTGAACACATAAAATCTGTGTTCTTTAAGCCATTCAGCCCATGATATTCTGTTAGGCTATTGTGTGTGTGCCTGTGTGCGTACTTGCACGCGCATGCCTGCCTGCATGTGAGTACATGTAAGCAAGTGAGTACACATGCATACACTGGTCCTAGGGCTTGAACTCACCACTTGGCCACTGTCCCTCAGCTTTTGTGCTCAAGGCTTAATGCTCTACTCTTAAGCCACAGCTCCACTTCTGGCTTTCTGCCAGCTGATTTTCCTTCCCCAGATGGTTTTGAACTGCAATCCTGATCTCAGCCTCCTGAGTAGCTAGGGTTATAAGCATGAACTACTGGCACCCAGCCCTCTGGTAGGGTATCTTCAGCTGACCAACATGTCTCTCCCATCTAAGGTTCTGAGCATCACTTAAACCTCCCGAGTGATGTTCACAGGAGAGATTCCTATTCTTTAGCTTCATTACACCAAACATTCCATTCAAGTGGGAAAGTAAGGCAAATGACCTTTGCCCAAGTGCTACAGGTCCTTGTAATATTCAAAATATCTATATACTATTTCCACCATTGTGGGGACAAGGGCTAAACTTAAGGCTTTATGGTTGTTAGGTACCAGCTTTAATATTGAGGTATAGCTCCAGTCTTTTTTGCTTTGATCTTGCTTTTCACTTAGCTGGTCTAGTCCTCCTATTTACATTTTCCTGACATGGCTTTGGTGACAAAAATGTACCATCACATCCAGCTTTTTCTTCTGAAATGGGATCTTGGAATCTTTGCTGCTCAGGGTGGCCTAGAATTATGATCCTCTGATCTCAGCCTCCCATGTATCTGCCACTCTACTTAACCGTTAGCTAAGATAGGGTCTCCTGAACTCTTACCTGGCATGATGTGGAATCTCAATCCTCCCCACTGCAGCCTCTTTAGTTGTGATGAGCCTGCTGGTGCCAGGCATTTCTCAGCTTTTCTATCTATACTCAGACATGCATTATCTCATGTGAACACTCCATCTAACAGTTTTTACTTTGTTACCCCTTTTGTCCTTTGTGGTACAAGTACTAGATTGTTGGAAGATCACTGCTTTGACATACTAACATAACTTTAGATTAAAAAAAATTTAAAACAGAAGTAACAGCCAATGTCTCTGACTGACAGCTGAGGGAAAAGTCCACTATCCAATGATTCCTTTGGGTGCTTCAATGATGTAAGCTAAAATGAGAACAATCTTTTCAAGATGTCAAGCAGCATGTAGTCAACCCTCCAGGTTTGTGAGATGGACTTCTGGTGAGACAGCCAGAAGACAAGACAAAAAATGTGTTCAACCCTGATCTTCTTTGCTTCTCTCTTGTATAGGTTCTACAGCTCAGCAGCAAGGGCCATGGTGTGGACAGACACTCAGGCTTATCTTCCCTGTGCTCCCCCTGAGCAGCCACAAGGAGGCAGAGCAGTCCATGGGAAGGCAGAGCTTCCCCAAGAAGCTGTATCCAAGATCAAAATTTAACTCTACTTACTCCCTATAACATTAGGACATTGAGCAAAGCATTCTTGGAGCCTCATCTCAAGAACTGGACAAGTGGGTAATGTGATAAGAATGTGGTTATCAAAGGATAATGACACTTACAAATAACATAAGTAAAGCATCTAGCATAATATAGAACACTGTCTTTTTCTTTTTAAACATTATTTGGCATTCATTCTCACTCACTAAAGAAACACAACAGGCCACTTGGTACTTAGCAAGCTGGTGTTCACCTGTGTGAATCTGAAAGCCAGCATGCCTTTCTCGCAGGGGTGGCAGAACACGCTGGGAGGCACGTGGTAATGACCCATGGTTACTATTTAAAACAATGCCACAATCATGTGCAAAAACAGCCAACAAAATCACGCAGCCAGGGCCGTGACACTCCAACACCAATGAAACTTAACCAAAACAATTCAGGCTGTGCAGGTCCCTTTGGTTCATGTCTTCTACTAACCTGAAAATGGGGGCTAGATACACACTTGGCAATCTGTTTAAATAAAGGTTCTTGAATTTTAACAAATTGTGAAGGTTCAATCACATCCAAAATTTCTTCGAGTTCCCCAAGGAACATGACCTGTAAGTAAAAGCAAAACACAAAATTTAAGCTATTTCATTAAAAAAAAAATACAGGTTCAATGAAGCCTAATGAGTTTACACCATCTTAAGAAAAATAATATATGCATAAAAGTAAAAACAAATGAACCGGCCATTATCCCATGTTTATTAGGGGACGCTCCTTCCACAAGGAATTCACCATGAGGTCTATGTTGTTAAAACTAAGTTCCCATGAGCATTGAACTGAATTGCTCAGGGACAGCTCCCAGGCCTAGAGCTCAAGCCCCACGACTGACCAAAAAAAAAAAAAAAAAAAAAAAAAGAGATCTTTCATGCTATTGTTTCTAACATATTTATAGCATTATGTCTTTGTTGCTTTGTATGTCCCTCCCCCATGGTATAAAGCCTGCTTTCACTGTATTTGATGTTGGTATATGTGGAGAGAAGGGAAAAAACAAATCGTTAAAACAGGGATACAGGAGGACCCATTACAACAATGAGATGTACAAGTTGTTATGTCGAAAAACAAACTTTACAACTTTGGTGGGGTGGATGGGGGAGGGGGGGGAGGGTGTGAAGGGATGGAAGGGGAAACAAAGAAGGAGGCTACAATGCTTGATAAGAAATGTACTCATTATCTTGCCCATGTAATTGTAACCCCTCTGTACAGTATTTTCACAATAAAAAAATACGTTTATAAAAACAAAAAAAAAAAAAAAAAAAACTAAGTTCCTCTAACACCAAAAGAATAGTTATTCTTTGACCTGGAGGCCTTACATGCTATACCAGGCCTGGGGACATGGACTCTCCCTGCAGACCCGCTCTCGATCGCTAGCAGCCCAGCAACCTCACCAACCACCCAGCCTTTAGTTTTAAACAGGAGGGTGGCCCTCCTATATGACGTGCCAAAGTCCATGGCACTGGCCAAGCACTGAACTCCCTGCTGCGTGCTCCTTTAAAAACATTAGCAGAGGCTGGGAAGGTGGCTCAGTGGTAGAGCGCTTGCCTTGCATACATGAGGCCCTGGGTTTGATTCCTTAGAACCATATAAGCAGAAAAAGCCAGAAGTGGCGCTGTGGCTCAAGTGGTAGAGCTCCAGCCTTGAGCTGAAGAGTTGAGGGACAGCGCCCAGAGTTCAGGCCCCACAACCGACCAAAAACAAAACAAAACAAAAACAAAAAAAACATTAGCAAAACAGCAAAAGTGCAAGAGACTAGAATACGTTCACTCCCCTGTATGAACGAATGATATTATATCAATCAGCACAAACGTACCTATTCTCTATGCTTATGCTTATCCTGCACACACACACACACACACACACACACACATACACACACACACACACACACACACACACACAAACTGCTCTCCATAAAAACCAATAATTCTCATGGCTCCTGCACTGTGTGCCTAGAGAACAGAGCATTCAGATTTCAAAAGGGAATCAGAAAAACAGTAGATTTGGTTAAATGTATTAAATATAACAGAAAAGTGATGACAAAAATGGATTACCTATTTAGCCATGAGGAATAATTATGGGAAAAAATTAAGTATTCAGTAACAAGAAAAATGACACTGTTTTTAGATCTGAGATACATGGGTTAGGGAGTAATGCAGAATTTAATTTTACCTAACAGTATTAAGAAATAAGATAGAGGCTGGGAATGTGGCTCAGTGGTAGAGTGCTTGCCTTGCACGCATGAGGCCCTGGATTCAATTCCTCAGCACCACATAAGCAGAAAAAGCCAGAAGTGGAGCTGTGGCTCAAGTGGTAGAGTGTTAACCTTGAGCTGAAGAGCTGAGGGACAGCACCCAGGCCCAGAGTTCAGGCCCCACGACCGGTTAAAAAAAAAAAAAAAAAGAGAAGAAATAAGATGAGCTAAATACTAATGGTTCATGCCTATAATCCTAGCTACTCAGGAGGCTAAGATCTGAGGATCGCGTTTCAAAACAAAACCAGCCCCAGGCAGGAAAGTCTATGAAATTCGTATCTCCAATTAATTAACAAAAAGCTGGAAAAGGCACTGTGGTTCCAAGTTACTAGAGCACTACCACTGAACACAAAAGTTCAAGGCCTGCCCTGAGTTCAAACCCCAGGACCCTTCTCCCCACCAAAAAAAAAAAAAAAAAGGAAAAGAACAAAAAATGACCTTCTACCTGAAACTGTTCACACCTGTAATCCTAGCTACTCAGGGGGCTGAGACCTGAGATCTGAGTTCAAAGTCTGTAAAATCTGTAAGATTTTTATCCCCAATTAACCATTTAAAAAAAGCTAGAAGTGGAGCTGTGGCTCAAGTGATAGAGTGCTAGCCTTGATCAAAAAAGGTTAAGGGACAGTGCCTAGGCCTGAAGTTGAGCCCCAGGTGGGCACAAAAAAAAAAAAAAAAAAAAGAAGGAAGAGGAGGAGCAGAAGAAGAAGGAGGAGGAGGAGGAGGAGGAGGAGGAGGAGGAGAGGAAGAGGAAAGCAAAGAAAGTAAAAAAAGAAAAAAGAAAAAGAAAAGATAGCATTCTGAAATTGTGTAAAGCAAGGGATGGAAAATTAAAGCTGATTGAAAAAAGTTGTTCCTATATGCCCTTTGCGTGTACTCTTCCAAAAAAATATAAGCCTAACAGTTGACCTCTGTGTTTCCAGGCCACCCTGCACATAGTTCCTAATCTTTCAGAGAGTAGCTGTAGGGCTGGGACAGGGCCAGGAGGCTCCACCCAAGCTTCCTGCTGGAGACTCACTACTCCTCACAGTTCCTGTCTGCTTAGGTCTCAGCAAAGCTCCAAATGATATATAGGTCAGAACCTTTCAGAGCCACCTGTAAAAGGCTAAAGCTACAGTTGTGCTGTATATTAAGATAATACACAGTAAGATCCCACCTATACTGTACTTTAAAGTGGGGATTTCAGGGCTGGGAAGGTGGCTCAGTGGTAGAGAGTTTGCCTTGCATGCCTGAGGCCCTGGGTTCGATTCCTCAGCACCACATAAGCAAAAAGAAAAAAGCTGGAAGTGGTGCTGTGGCTCAAGTGGTACAGCGCTAGCCTTGAGCTGAATTGCTGAGGGACAGCACCCAGGCCCAGAGTTCAGGCCCCACGACCGAACCCAGAAAAAAAAAAAAAAAAAAGTGGGGATTTCAGCAGGTATGATTTCAGAGATGCTCTAGCATCTCTACACCAACAGTACCATCTCCATGCTATGCAGAAGGTCACAAGGACAGTGACAAGTGAACAACAGGAGTTTGGCCTGGTGTTACCTAAGGCTTAGCAGCACAGGCTAAAAGCATGCTATACAGGCATTTGGAGGCACCTCCTGACCTACTCACCTGCTTTCCTCTGTACTTGAGAGGACTACTTAACCTCTCTAAGCCTCAATTTCATCCCCAGTAAAATGAGAATACTAATAGCCCTGCCTCATGGAGCTACATGGTTTAGATGGAATTATATCTGTGGTTTATTTGTGTATGTGAGTGCGCATGCGCGGGCACATGTTTGATGGTACTAAAGGTTAGATCCAATCTCTCAGGCCTTGTTGTTGGGGGAGGAAGAGGAATTTTACTGTTTGTTTTAATACAGGGTTTCATGCTTTTGCTTGGGATGATCTCAAACTGAAATCCTCTTACCTCCTGAATATATGGGATTACAGACATGCACCAGTACAGCTGGAAAGATGTGATTTCACACATTTAGACCAATGGCTGGCTTTACAAAGTTTAAGTTACTGTCAGTAAGTTACTGACACTCAAGAGTATGCACTTACCTCTTTTTGACTGCATGTTTTAGGCCAAAATTTCATTAACCCCCTAATAACCTAAAAGAAGAAAAAAAATTAAAGGTATATAACTTTTCAGATACACATTCAGGAAAAGTGGTTTTTCTGAAGTTTTTTGAAACTATGACAAAACACTTACTGGTTCAGTGAGTGAAGGGTCTTTTTCCAGAAATTGTACTATACAATACGCCAACTGAAGAAGCAAAAAGGAAAGGCAAAACTTTACATTCTACATCTAAGGGTGCAAATGAGTATTAAAACCTACTGCTCTCTGGTTTCAATTTGTACATTCTGGGCTTAATGTCCCATCAGTTCATTCTAAATATAATAAAAGTAAACTTAATCAAGCAAAAGAGAACTACTACTTATTTACTTTTTTTCCCCTTCAGTAAGATGGAATCTCTGGTCTTGAACTCCTCGGCTCAAGTGAACTTCTACCTCAGCCACTAAGAGTTGCTGGGACTGGAGGTATGCACTATTAAATCTAGCTGGAAGTGGCTTTCACAAGCCAAAATATGGCGTTAATAAGGAAGGCTCTAGAATTTTGAAGAACTAATGAAAAACACAGGGGGAAAAAAAAACATACTTTTCTTTACCTTGGAGAGTACAGTCATCCCTTGCTATATTGCAGTTCACTTATTGTGGCTTCACTGTACTGTGAGTTTTTTTAGAAAAATATATAAACAGCCAGGTGCCAGTGGCTCACACCTGTAATCCTAGCTACTCAGGAGGCTGAGATCTGAGGATCAAGGTTCAAAGCCAGCCTGGGCAGGAAAGGCCATGAGACTCTTATCTCCAATTAACCACTATAAAACTGGAAGTGGTGCTGTGGCTCAAGTGGTAGAGTGCTCGCCTTGAACTTAAGGGCCCAGGGACAGTGCCCAGGCCCAGAGTTCAAGCCCCACAACTAACCAAAAACAAAACAAAACAAAAAAACAAAAACAAAAAAACCCCACATAAATAGTGATCCCTCACCTACTGCAGGAGCTACATTCCAGAGGCTCCAGCCATAGGTGAAAATTCGCTAAGGAACAAAAAGTAAACCACAATACAATACAGCAAGGGACGACAATATAATGCTGCTACTTAGATTTTTACCTATCATGGGAGTCTCTGGAAATGTAACTCCCATAATAGATAAGGGTTCACATTTTAAACTGTAACAAGTTTAAACACCTTTTTTATATTTTTTGGTCTTGGGGCTTGAACTCAGAGCCTAGGTGCTGCCCCTGAGCTTCTTTGGCTCAAGACTAACACTCTACCACTTGAGCCACAGCACCTCTTCTGACTTTGTCTGAGTAATTTATTGGAGGTAAAAGAGTCTCAGACTTTCCTGCCCAGACTGGCTTCCCACTGTGATTCCCCAGATCTCAGCCTCCTGAGTAGCTAGGATTACAAGCAATTATGGAAATACTAATGTCAGAAGAACTGAGTTTGCAAACTTTTCATTCTGCTTCAAAAGCAGTTGTAAAAAGTGTGTGCATTCCTATAACCATAGCACTTGACAGGTTGAGGCAGGAGGATCAAAGGTTCAAGGTCAGTCTGTGGTATATAATCAGATGCTGTCTCCAAAAAATACCAGTCTTTCCAAGTTCTACCTGGGCATGGAAGAGTGACAAGCTTCTGACGGTATGTAAAGGGATCAGCACTTTCACCAGAAACTGTTTGTGTTCTGCCTTAAGGGGTAAAGCAAAGCCATTGATAATACTAGGAAAAAGGAAAAGAGATACAAATTAGCAATTCAAGCACAGCCAGCACGCTATGCTATACCACCAACTGACCACGTGAGACTGTTAACTCTCAATAAGCTTCTATTATAGACCCAGACACACAGCCACAACATACTTATGCCCACTTCAGTGGTCATCAATGCTTCATAGTTACTTCACATTTAAGTAGGAAAGGAGTGAGAAGCTAAATTTGCTTATGATCACCTAACAAAGGCTCCTGTGCTCTTAAAATTAGTCAGATGGTTCCCCAAAACATTTGTGTGTGTATGTGTGTGCCGTGTGCCAGTACCAGAACGTGAACCCAGGGCCTGGGTGCTCAAGGCTGCCATTTGACAGTTCTACTTTCAACTTTTGGGTGGTTAATTAGAGATAAGAATCTCATAGACTCTCCTAACTAGCTAGAATTACAAGTGTGAGCTACCAATGCCTAGCCCAAAAACTTTTTATCAGCATCTTTTATTTTTCCTTCCTCCTCCTTTTCCTCCCTGTCACTGCCTCCTTGCTAAACTTCCTCCTGAAATACAACCTTTAAGTTTTGAGAAATGATCCTTGATTTCTTGAAGTCTCTGCTTAGCTTGTGTCTGATCTTCAGAATGCTATTTACCTGAGACGAGCAATTATGTAACAAGTGCTCACCTTCCTAATATTTCCAGCAGTTCAGCTACACCATTGAAGTGTTCAGTTTCATAAACAAACCTGGGAAGGGGAAGAAGGAGAATAAAGTCAAGACTGTGGGTTGACATATGGGACGTTTACTTCTTATTTCTATGAAAACATTAACTTTGCCTCTTCTCCTGCTCCCCCACCCTCCACTTACCTTAGAAAAATATTGTTAATCTGTTTTCGGATAAATGCTCTAAGACCAAGAAACTTGCCATAAATTCTGTGCAAGACTGTTTTTAAGTAGTCCCGTTCCCGAGGGTCTTCACTGTCAAATAGCTCCAGAAGCTATTGTGAAGAAAAGATAGGGCAGATGTCAGTGGCAGTTGCAGGAAAGGATTTAGGAGTGCTATTGTGCATTATTTAAAACCTCTGCCTTCCTTCTTTTTTCTTTTCTATCTCAGCCTCCAGAGTAGCTGGAGCTTTTGTCCTCAAAAAGTTACCAATCATATACCAGGCACAGTGCTAGTCTCTGAAAATAGAGTGCTAACAAATGTGACAGACAAAGGGGTTTGTAATCCAGTGAAGATACAAATAATAACAACAACAAATGTAATCATGGTCAACACTTGCACTCTGCATGTTTATTATGTGATAGTGCTATCTCAGTTTTGCACATCAGGAAAAGGGGGCACAGAAAGTTTACGTGACCTGCTGTGGGTTTGTAGCTGGTCAACAGCAGAGCTGAGATCTGAACCTAGGCATTCAAGGTCTTAAAGGCATTTCCTCAAACACTGTACTATACTATTATACTGCTTATGTTCCAAATATAGGACTTCAGCTCTACCAGCATATACAGGTACATAAACAACCTAACCTAAAGCATACATCAAAACTCCCAAAGATGCCAACAATATTCTCCTTTTTTATCTGCGCTCTTTTATCTGCATGCTCATTTTGTAAATATTCATCACATTACTTCTATATAAATTACATGCAAGTAACTCTTTAAAATATGGAACCTTAAATAATAGAAACCTGCCAGGCGCCAGTGGCTCATGCCTATAATCCTAAGCTACTTGGGAGGCTGAGATCTGAGGATCACAGATCAAAACCAGCCCAGGCAGGAAGCTCCGTGAGACTTTTATCTCCAATAAACTACTAGAAAAACGGAAGTGGCACTGTGGCTCAAGTGGTACAGTGCTCACCTTGAGCTGAAGAACTCAGGGACAGTGCCCAAGCTCAGAGTTTAAGTCCCACAATTGACCAAAAATAAATAAAACAAAAAAATAAATAAAATAAATAGAAACCTGGTAACATCACATCCATGTATTCTTGAGACTCAGACCTCAAAAGAGGTAGTTACGAAAGAGAAGTATTACACCAAATGACAGTAGGCACTACACATTGAACTCAGTCACTATCAAAAATACCGGCTGCAGCGAGGCACCTGGGGCTTATGCCTGTAATCTTAGCTACTCAGGAGGCTGAGAAGTTGGGGACTGCAGCTGGAAGCCAGCCTAGGTAGGAAAATCTGTGTAACTCTATCTCCAATTAAGAACCACAAAAAGGGGCTGGGAAGGTGGCTCAGTGGTAGAGCGCTTGCCTTGCATGCATGAGGCCCTGGGTTCAATTCCTCAGTACCTCATAAGCAAAAAGAAAAAAGCCGGAAGTGGTGCTGTGGCTCAAGTGGTAGAGCACTAGCCTTGAGCTGAAGAGCTGAGGGACAGTGCCCAGGCCCAGAGTTCAGGCCCCATGACCGGACCCAAAAAAAAAAAAAAAGAACCACAAAAATGGGGGGGAGGATGGGAAGGAATGAGAAGGGGAAACAAAGGAGGAGGCTACAATGCTTGATAAGGAATGTCCTTATTACCTTGCTCATGTAATTGTATCCCCTCTGTATTTTCACAATAAAAAAAAATATATTGAAATACAAAAAAAAAAAAAGGGTTTAAAAAAAAAGAAGAAAAAAATTATTTTCGCAAGGGGGGGTGGGGGGGGGGGGGAGGGGAGAACCACAAAAGCCAAAAGTGAAGCTGTCCTTCAAGTGACTGAGTGCTAGCCTTGGGGAAAAGAAGCTCGGGGAGAGTACCCAGGCCCTGAGTTCAATCCCTAGGACCAGCACCAAAAAAATAAAACACAAAATCAGCTGCTTTGTTTTCCAGGAATTGGTCAAATCTTTAGCTATATAGACATAATTCCAGGGGGAGTGGGGGGTGGGGGGAGATGGGAAGGGATGGGAAGGGGAAGCAAAGGAGGAGGCAACAATGCTTGATAAGAAATGCACCCATTACCTTGCCCAGTATTTTCACAATAAAATTTAAAAAAAGATATAATTCCAACACTCAGAGGGCTGACACAGAATCTCATAAAAATAAACAAGAGGGAGGGGAAATGAGGGAGAGCAAAAGGGGATGGATTTGATCAGACTGTCACAAATAATGTATGCTAATAAAAATGAAAGGGAGGGACAGGAGAAGGGAGGAATGGAGGCTGGAGGGAAAAAGGGAAGGAAGGAAGGAAGAAAGGAAAATAAATACACAGGACCTAGAGAAGCAAAAACCATCAGGTTACAGAGGGGACACAAAATTAGAAGCCTCACATATCTTGATTTCAAAACTTACTATAAGCCTATAGTAATCAAAGAAGTGTGATACTGACATAGGATAGATATGCCAAGTGAGAATTAAGAATCCAAAAATAAATCTCAAATGTATAGTCAACTGATTTCCTGTAAGGATGTGAGGATATTTCAGCACAGGAAGAATAGTGTTTTTCACCAATGGTGCTAGGATGATTGGATATCCGCGTGCAATAGGATAAAGTTGGACCTCTACCTCATACCAAATACTCAAATCTATTTTCAAATAAAAAAACCTAAAGAAATGAACTATAGAAGAAAATGTAAAATTAAGTGTTCATAGTCCTAGACTAAGTGATTTATTTTTAGCTGTGAAATGAAAAGCTTATCTAGGCAATAAGAGAAAAAAATAGACTATCAAAATAAAAACATCAGTGCTTTAAAGAACACTATCAGGCTAGGAATATGGCTTAGTGGTAGAGTGCTTGCCTAGCACGCATGAAGCCCTGGGTTCAATTCCTCACTACCACAAAAACCACACAGAAAAAGCCAAAAGTGGTACTGTGGCTCAAGTGGTAGAGTTCTAGCCTTGAGCAAAAGAAGCTGAGGGACAGTGCCCAGGCCCTGAGTTAAAGCAAAAAAAAAAAAAAAACAAAAAAAAAACAAAAAGTATCAATAAAGTGAAACAGTGCATCACATAATGGGAGGAAATATATGCAAACTATTGACTAATAAGACTAGTGTCCACAACATAGATGAACTATTAACCTCAATAAGCAAAATTGATTCCATTTAAAATTGAATGATCTTTATTTTAAATGGACATTGCAAAGAAGGCATACAAATGACTAATAGATGCATGAAAAAGCATTCTATTTCACTAATCACAACAGTAGCACCAACCCCAAACAAAAACAAGATACCACTTGGTGACTGTAACTAAAAAAGCACTGGTAAGGATGTAAAGAAATTGAAACCCTCGTACACAGTTGGCAAGCAAATGGGTGCATTCGGTGTGGAAAATAGCTTGGCAGTTGCTCAAAAGTTCTACAGTTGGACAATTCCACACTCCCAGTGTACAATGAACAGAACTGAAGCCATATATCCATACGAAAACAATACAAAAATGTTCACCGAGTGATGTCTTTCACAGCAAAATATTTCAAGAGCAGGGAAGAGAGACTACACACAGAAAGCACAATACTATCATTATATATTAAAAAAAAAAAAAAGCGTGATACACGCGAGGTGCCAGGGTGATGGTAAAAGCAAGACAATGTCATCTGCTTTCATAGAGCCCAGTCCAGTGCTGGCCACGCTGAATAAATACAGCACAGGACGCTGTACAAATGTGTAAGACACTTGCTCTATATGGAAGAAAAACAATGACAGAGATGGTTTCTCTAAAAAGTGATATCCCAAAAAAGCAGTAAGAGTTTAAAAGTAGGGCAGCAATATTTGTATTAGTCAGCTTTTTGGGGTTATAACAAGCAAGAACTTAGCTCAGGCTACTTATGAGGAAGAAAAGGTGTATTTAGCTCATCAAAGTCCAAATGGCACAGCACAGCTGTAGGCAAGGGCTGCGCCTAATGACATCACCCTATAGTGCAGCTATCAATCATGTGGGAGCAGACCAATGACTGCATCTCCAACCAGGAACAGAGAAGCAAACACTGGTATCCCACAATGCTTCCCACTAGCCCACTCCAAATATTGCCCTGTGTGAACTCCAATCAGCAGGGCCTTTGGGAACCTTCTCAATATCTACACTGAAAGCTGGAAGCTGACAGAGCGATTCCATAAACATCTAGAGGAAGATGAATAAAATGACACAAAGGTGTGTCTAACTAAAATGTCAATCAAATATGTAGGCAGAAAACGACAGCATCCAGACAAGTGATCTTTTAAAACATGTACATCAAGTATCAAATTTGCATCAAGGTAACTTTCTCATCAAGTATCAAGAGAACATATTCCACCAAGCAAAGACAAGGTCCAGAAAAAGGCAAAAGCCATCTCAGGGGGACCACTTGGACTTAGCCTGAGAGAAAGTACCAGTGCCAAGCAGAGCCAGATGACCAGGGCTCCAGGAAGGAGGCCTCTAAGAAGAAAAGGAAGGAAAAGAGTAAGGAGGAAAAAAAAAATCATAATGTAAGGCTTGAAGCTTTGAAACTACTACAGGAAAACGGATGAAGATCTAAGCACAGGCAATGGCTTTCTGAATAGAATTCCAATAGCTCAAGAAATAAGACCAAGAACTGCCAAATAGGATTGCATCAAATTAAAAAGCTTCTCCATTTGCAGAAGCTAGATCTAAAATACACTGGGACATGATTACCTATACAGACTCTAGGCATTCACACGCAGTGAGACCAAAGGAGGGTATTCTCAGGAGAGGAACACAAAGCCGCGATGCTTGTGTGCATCTCTCTGATCTATAAAATAATATTTATTGATATATACTCCAGGAAATGGGAGCTGTTGTTCTTGTTTTCTTTGTCCTATTTCCCATAAACAATTCAGAAAAAGCCAGAAGTGGTGCTGTGGCTCAAGTAGTACAGTGCTAGCCTTGAGCACAGAGAGGCTCTGGGTCAGCACCCAGGCCCTAAGTTCAAGCACCACCCGCCCCCGACTGGCAAAAAGGACCACTATCGGAAATGAAGAGATTATGGCAACAGAGTGGGCCATAATCCCCACTTGGCCAAAGGATTAAAGGGGAAGTTTCTAGTAACTCTTGCCTTGAAGACCTTTATGGAAAACAAGTATA